GGTGCCCTGAAGCCGGGAAACGAAGGCGTCCGTGAGCTGTTCGTGTTGGGGAGCACACCAGTATTCTGGTACCTAAGGTTGTTTTGTCTTGACATGCTTGACATGTTTGACATTGACTTGTTGATGTTCTGTGTTTGACATGTCAACTGTTTTAACCAGTCAAGAGTCGGTGGCAAAGGCTCATACCTCTGACCTCAACTTGTAGGTCCCACTGTGAAACATGCGTAGCTTGCAGCCACACCCAAAAAAAGCGCCTTCTCCCCTGTGCACAAGCACTTGAAGTTCTCGACCTTTGCGAGCAATCTGGCGGACAAGGCTGTGAGGCGTTCTCTTCCTTCCTTCTTTCTTTCTCTCTTTGCTTTCTTCTTTCTCTCTTTCTCCCTCCCTCTCCCTCTCCCTCTCCCTCTCCCTCCCTCTCCCTCTTCTCATGCAGCTAAGATTGACACTGTCCGCGGCATGGTGTCGCCATAAAGGCCCAACACCTCAGATGGGCTGCTCAGAAGCCTGGGAGGCGTCTCACGCCTCTCCCGAGCTATGCAGCTAGGCTTGGACCAATTGGTCACTTACAAGACACATTTTTGTTCCCAAGATGGACTGCATCACTCCTGCTGCATCCCCTTCTGTAGCCACATACAAGCAGCAGCTCCCTAAGGCACAAAGAGACTCAGGCAACTCTCTCAGGCACAGGCAATGCGGCCCATGGGTTTCTCATCGATCTCAATATCGAGGAAGCATTTCTTCGTGATCTGAAACTTCAGTTCCTCAAGTGCCGCCAATTTGTTTTGCCCATCCAACGGCATGGGGTGCAAGCTCACTCAGGTAGGAAGCTCACCAAAATGGACCAAAGTTGATGAACTCAACCGGAGGCAGCGCCCCACTCGAATTCAAGAACCAGGGGTTCAAATGGGTCTGTCAATTGTGTGGTAGGAACCCAACCAGAAAACAACCAATTGGGGGGGTCCGCTGAAAAAAAACACCAAATCCCCAAGCATTTTTTCCGGGCCAGCTGACAACTGGGTGCACCAACTGCCTTTTTCTTCTCGCCCTGGAGCAAGAAGCGCTCGCTGACGGGCTCGAATCTATCGTAGGCATACCTCTCGGCAAATCGGCCGAGTCAAGTAGGGCCAGCTGGTAATGTTCTACTCAAGTCATCGTGACTCCACATGGAGAAACAAGAAACACACAGCTTCCTGCAAACCTTCTCTTGGCAAAACCATGCATTCATCACAAAACCCTTCTGGCACCGGCTCTGAAAGGCTGCGTTCCTCCAATCCGCCCGGGGCAAACGAGTATGGTCGTGGCAACTTTGAGAGCCATTCATAGCAGAAAGAGGTACAGGTGTCGTCACAGCTTCTGTGAGGGGATGGGGCACCAAAGCTGCTCCTTGGTCCGTTTTTCCAGCCAAATGGAAAGGCAGCGCTCGCCATACTCGCCGTCATCGAGGGTAAAGTACCTGCATTGAACGCAAGACAGAGCGGACATCCCCTTGTATGGGAAAGCGGCATGCTGCTTGATCAACAAGCTGCAAACATAGCCGAAAACAAACATTCCTGACCTTGCCACCTGGCACCAGATTCCACCAGATTCTCCAGCATCGTGGCGCACGAGTCGATGACATCAACCTCGTACAAGACCTGCAATGCAAGCAACCCGACACCTGCAAGCCAAAATCGTTGCCTAGGCTTCAGGAGCTCCTTGCAAACAACAGCTTATCTCTGCCCAGCCAAAAAAACAAATTGGGCACCCTTGTTTGGTTGGCTGACTTTAAAGTGGAACCCTTCCCAAACAAAAGGAAACAACGGGCACCACTGGACAGTTGCACCGGGTCTTACCAGTGGCCGGCACCTTGTCGTTGATGACCAGGCCGCCCTTCTCCGGGACAAGTCCGGCCCTGAAAACAGCAGGTCTCCCTGTGGATGGACGCGAAATCCATTTCGCACCAACGTTCAGAAACCCTGGAGTGATGATTCCCCTGTAAATGAAACAACAATCAGTGGTTTCAACCCTGGTTTCAAAGCGGTGCGGTCTCGGATTCCGTCCATTCACAGTATCATGCCTCATGCCCCACTGCTTGGTCCAGGGTCTCAGCCCAGTGCTGAAGTACTCCGTTCCGGCAGTCAAAGACCACATCCTCAGCTCTTTGTCGGCTACAAACTCGCCAAGATTTCCTCATTCTCTGACTCAATGATGGCTTTGCACTGCGACAGATCGTCTGGCCTCCTTCTTTACATCGTCGGCGATGGGAATGTAAATGAGCACTGCCTGCAACAGGGCATGGGACATCACAGCTTCAAGAAGGGCCAGGGCTGCCACATCCGCGGTACGGGCCCCATGTGTCAACAGATGGGACAGCCAACTTCAGTGTCAGCGCGCCTCAGTGCACTTTGACAGCGTCCAGTAGTAGCCTTGAGCTGAGCCAGTCGAGGCTTGTCGACCAAGACTTGCAGAAGTGCCATGCTTCGAGACACCAGTTTGCCAAGAGAGCAGCCTTCCCGGTGCAACAAAGGGTGCAGCAAAAGACCCGGCAATGCTGACCACTGATTAATACACCGCCCCACGTACTATTAAGAGGGGGTCCCTTTCTAGTTGGGAATCCTTTCTTCCAGGGGGACGAAAAAGGACACCCCTGATGAACAACTGGGGGGGAGTTATTCATCAGGGGTCAACGTTAAGACTCTATAAGACAAACACACAAAGCTCCAGGAGTAACTTCCCCATTCCTTTTAGGGAGAAAACCACCAAAACCCTAGGAAAATGGCGATCGGTTTTTGAAAAGTGCTAGAAAACTCGGTTGCTTTCTGCTCCCCTGCTAAAAGTTTAACTTTTAGTGGTTCAGTGGAAAACCCATTAGTTGGCAAAAAGTTAAAGTCCTAACAGCCAAGCAAAATGCACCAAAGGAAAGCAGCTCAATGGCAAAATCCCAGGGCTCCCTGCCGTTACAGTGGATCGGATAGCCCTCCAGGCTCAAGTCGCGCCGGAAGGGCCGCAGCTGAACCCGCGGGCGAGGTCTTAACCTCCCCGCTCACGAAATGTTTGGCGGAAGCCCCGTCCGCCGGTGCATCCACTTCCATTTGCTTAAGCCCCCTGGAAATAAAAATGCTTGCAGTAGTGATCGATTCTGTTTAAAACCAACAGAGGAAAATAAGACATATTCTTAAACAAATGGAAGTCCAGCATCCAAGTTTCACAACGGAGAAGCTTCCGGACTGTTCACAAAAAAGCATTCTTATGGTGCAGAAATGGGCGGGTACCTTCTCTTTCACGAAACTTGACACCATTGGGGCGTTGAAGCCCTCTGAACCCAAGCTGGTTGCCGCACGAAGTCTGCATAATTGATCGTTAGGTGGTTTGGGCTGGCATTGCTTATAGATGTCTGCACTTGTCAGAGTTGCTTGGTTCCGAGGGAAGGTTCAAACTACGGCAATGTAAAATTGGCATTTGGCTTTAAGGGCCTTGGGTTCTTCTTCCATCAAGTTTCGGAGGAGCAACCACGCTGAAAAAAAACAAATCCGCCAACCCCAGCTCGGCGCGCAGGCTACATCACCACCTGCACCAACAACTTACAGCAAGTCAGCCGCCAACGGCAAGTATCTCAAAGCCGCTTTGAGCCGCTCATGTTGAGCCGTTTTCAGTTTCCCAGACGAACCCCTGACGGGTCCTTCTGTCTGCGGCCACCAAGGCCGCAAAGAGAGCTGCAGCTGATCTTCCTGGCAAGGGAAATTCTCAAGACCGCCTTAAACCTCTAAGAAACTCTTCGCAGCCAGGAGCCACATGGCCATGGGTCAAAACCTCGTACTCCCAGTGAACATCCCAATCCCCACTAAAATAGACTAAAATAGACTAAAATGGGTGGTGCACCTACCCCAAAATGGTACCACATTGGGGTTCCGAACCCGCTCTCATGTTTGGCTCCTTTGAAGCCTTGGTTTTGCGTTGGCACATGGCCGAATGACAGCACTAGAGAAGTCGGAGCTCCCATCCAACAGGTACCCCTTTTCGGGCGGTCTTAAACGGAATTCCAAAAACCAGCAAAGAGAGTGTAGCTGCAAATAAACCAACAGAGAAAAAAAGAGAAACAATACATAACAAAGCAACTAAACCCTTCATCCTGGTCTATTCGAAGCTACGCCCACTTCTCCTCCCACAAAAAACCCCCCCGCTCCGTGCCTTGCGAAGCGGAGCTCGGGCTCCTCCGCGGCGCGCTCGCCTTCGGCGAGTGGAGCCGGATGCGTGCGATGGGCCGTGCTGGTTCCGCGTGTGGATGGAGCCGTGGTTGCAGACGTTTTCTTCTTCCCCCATGGAAACACCAGCTTCTTGAATTTGCGTCTGCCACACTGAAGGTCGTGTCTTCCAAAAAGAAGAAGAAGCAAGACTGAGCACATGTGCAAGACTTGCAGCACTCGCGAGAAACTTTGCGTGCGGCTCGAAGACAGGCGCAGGTGGGCACACCTCACTCGGCTCCAAGATCCCGGCAGGAGAGGCGAGTCCAGCACCTGACGCACCAGAGAACTGCTGGAAATTCCCTGAATCCGCAGTCATGTCTGCTGGAAAGCGGGGCCTAGCTACACAAGCTCCCCCGTTTCTCACTTCTAGGTCCTCCAGTAGAGAGGCTAGAACTCCCAACCAAAAAAAGAAACGGGAAAGGGGCACTACCGGGGGGACCTAGCACTTGTATGCTTCCCGCCTTGGGCCCGGCTTCCCCAGGAGGCTCCGGCGAAGGCCAGCATGCCTGAAGAATTGACCAGGAAGCTCGTCTCCATTGGTTCCCCTTACCCAAACAAGGTACTTTGAGCCCTCCCCAAAAAAACATGAAGGCTGGCAGCGCTTCTCAAGGAAAAAGCAGCTTCTTGCTTTGGGGAACTTGGGAACTCGCTGAACACCGACCATACCCTATCCGCACCTGTCACTGTGAATGTTTCAGGATAACCAGTTTGAGTCAGTGAATGTTGACCAACCACACACGATGTCCTTCAACGTGCATCTTCAAAACCGCCAAAAGCGGGACTCACCCCGGCCGAGATCCCCACCTTGTAGTGGGCTCCACTCCAACAACTCAGCCAAGATATTAGAATGTCTTGGAGCACGGGGCATGAAGCCGCTCCGCAACATTTCTTCAATCCGAAACATCGAACCATCACTGTTGGCCTTCAGACTGCAAGCTGAACGGGGGATAAAGCCGGGGCGAACCTGTCCCTCGCGGGTCGGGCCGTGCGCTTTTCCCTTCGCTTTCGGCTTTCCCCTGCGCTTGGGCTTCGCGTGCGCCGGTCCAGGACTCAGCAAACGTCGGCAGAGAGCCTGCCGAGAGCTCCAAAGTGGACATACGCAAACTAGCAACAACCAACCAGAAATGTCAACCGCAAATCATGTCATAAACAAGTTGGCCATATGTAAACTATCCAACCACCTGCTCAATAATGGTGATATCAACTTGCAGATTGAACTGGTTCCTCGCCCCTTGCATCATGTTCATGTGTTCGAGTGTGAACTGCGCGCTGCGCTTGCCGTGCCTCAGTGTAGTTCCGCTGCGGATGAACTGAGGCATCAAATTCCCCGCGGCTCACATCTGGAGGAGGATCCAGCAGTGCCTGGCCCATGGCAGATCAATTGATTCAGTCGCTGGATGGCCGCTTGGTGGGTTTGCTGCTGGCTCAGATTTGCCATTTGGCTGTGGTTGTCAAAACCGTTTTGGATCCCATTCTGGGGTAGGTGAATTCACCACCTATTTTAGAACCTATTTTGGTGGTTGGATTGGGATGTTCACTGGGGGTACGGGATTTTGACCCATGGCCATGTATCGCTTGAAGTTGATTGGGCGCTTGGCTGTTTGGTTGCTTTCGAGTCTTGCGCATGGTTGCATGTTGGATTCTTTGAAAGCCTAGCACGGCTTCTTCGCGAAGCCTGATTCACTCTATTGAGTGCTTCTTCTACCAGCTCTGCAGCCACTTTGAGGAGACAACTTTCGAGCGAAAAACGAAACCATGAGAGACACCCCACACGCGTTTCAGTGTTGGCGCTATTCAAAACAGGGCTTCTTGCGGAGATCTCAGGGCTTCTCTCACAGCATCCTGGACAAAAAACAAGCCTGGAACTCAAGAACAAACCAACAGCAAATTTGGACTGGCAAAACATGGTACATATCATGGATGTGGTTGTTCTCTTCCCTTTCAATCCGCCAAAAAGGGGTACTCTCAAAAAAGACAGCCCCATGTGAGGATTAAACGCTATCACTTCTAGGCGTCTTGTTACCAGAGCCGCCCCTGTCTAGCTGCCGAGCTCTCGCTGGGGCCTCTGGAAGGACTGCCTGGAAGGTCGCAGTGACACGCATGGCCTGGCATGGGAGGAGACTTGGGATCTCAGCGGAGTTTGGTTGCACGTCGAACACCGGGAAGCTGAATTTGAATCCAGGGGATCGCAGACACACACACAAACATGAATACGGGCAAGCAAATCAGCAAGATGACCCTGGATGCGGTGCAAACTGGAACAACGCACTTCCGGGAGAAATGCAGAGCGGCAACAAAACGCTCGCAAAGAGCAACAGGTCCTGGACCACAAATAGCAATCTTTCAGATTCTGAGCTCACCAAATGTGAGCCCGAAGCAGCTGAAGATCAAAAACTCAGAATAAGTGGGTGGGTGGGCGGGCGGGTGGGTGGGTGGGCGGGTGGGTGGGCGGGCTTGCGGGTGAAACATTTTACAGAGGCGAATCTGCAGCCACTCACTGGACTCCCCGTCCGCGCGAAATCCCCTTTGCCTCCTGCAGGTATTTGTGGCCCTTCTTGTAGGCCTAAAGCATGCGGCCACGCCGCGTGGCAGAGATGGCCTTTAGTTTCGGACATGTCCAGAGGCAAGCCGTGGCTCATTCTGCTGACAAACCGATTGAAGGTTTGAATTGCTTCTGGTTTACAAACCTACACAGAATGATCCCAGGGCGCACATACAAAGCTAAAGAGTCCAAGAGCTTATGGGAACATGTCAACCAAACAATGGCCGCTGGGTTAAAGCCCATTGCCTCTGTCAATCAGGCTGAGGCAGTCGCATTTGGCATGAAGCGCCGCATTGCACCCAAGGCCAGGCCACTCGCGCCTGGCTCCATCCCTCTTGCTCCCTTTGCTTCAGGTCTGTTCGCCCGGACTCTTTTTGAAATATGGCCATGGGTCAAAACTTCGTGCCCCCAGTGAACATCCCGATCTCCACTAAAACGGACTAAAATGGGTGGTGCACCTACCCCAGAATGGTACCATTGGTTTTGACCCACAGCCATATAAACCTCAGAATAGTTGTATTGAGCAAACCAAAGGGACACGTAAACACACCGTCTTGTCGTTCGAATGGTCCAGCAACTTAGCACAAGAAACACACACACACACACACAAAAAGCCGTATGTAGAATCAACCAGTGCCTCAAACCTCTGGCGAAAAAAAAACGGCTCCGAACTTCCGACGCACGGCCATGCCCCTGGCGCCTTTGTAGTACTGCCCAAGGACCTGCTGACTTCGGGCGCTCATCAAGGCTGGCACCGGATCCTGGAGCCCAAGCCATCGACGAAGCTGTTCGGCAAAGCTCAAGGGAGAGGCGCTGAGCGTGGAATCACATACACCGTGGATGGACGAAATCCATTTCGCATCACCTGAGAAACCATCGAATGATGATTCCCCTGTAAATACCAACAAACAGTGGTTTCCCGCGGTTTTAAGGTGGTGCGGGAGTTTGTCCATCCACAGTACGGTTAGGCCGAAACAGTCATGCAAGACGGGGAGCACTACGAGCAGTGCTGATAAAGCGTGAATCTTGGCCCGTCACTCCAAAAGCCCTCTCAGGCCTCTCAGCTGTTTGGTGGCCATTCGATCCACTTGAAAGCGCGAAGCACCCTCTACAAGATGTTCCCAAAATCACAATGTCATGGGGCTTTTGGTGAGCCAATTTCTATTCAAGAACTCCTCAGACATTCATATGCGTAAAATTGCGCCACTACATATGCAAATATGCAAACATGCAAAAGCAAAATTCAACGAGCAACGCAGGCGACAACCCTATAAGGGCGGACACTGCGCACCTGCCCTTCCGGCCAATAAGGGACAGAACAGAACCCCTCAGAGGTTGGAACTTCTGACTTCCTGGGCTCCGCAGGCCCCCAATTTACCAACACCATATGGCTGTGGTTGTCGGAAATAGTCGGTAACCCCGACATGGTTTGCCCGATCGGTAAATGGAAACAAGGACCCAAACATGCGGTCCAATTCCCTGTGGTTTAATTTTGACCCATACTAGTATCATGATACAAGAGTGGAACATACATTATCTACATAGCAACATTCAAGGCGTGATTCAAGATCTATAGACAACGTTCAGGCCAGCATTTCTTCCAACCAACAAACAAACCCTGGGACAGCCATATTGACAGTTGCAGCGGCTCCAAGATTCGAGTCCGTCCTCAATAAACCGCCAGGCTCTGGAGCGAGGCGCTCTCTTGTGCAAAGCCTCGGATCGATACTCAGCGTCGAGGCGAGATGTTGGTGGATTCGGGCACCCAAATGGTGTCTCAAAATAGGGGCCCCTTTTTGAATGCTTTAAAATAGGACTCCCAAAAGAAAAACACTTACCTGCCCAATGAGAAACACCCGAATCCACTAACCTCTCGCCTCGACGACCTGGCGTCCCCAATGAGAAACATCCGGGAAACTATTTCACCACATTCAGGTGTCCAATGCATGCCAGCCGAGTCTCAGCATCTTTGTGGACTTGAAGGTGCCTCTGAAGACCCGAAGCCCACAAACAAGCTCGTTTTTTTATTCACGGGAACCCAGAAGGGAACCCCAAAAAGGCCGTTGTCCTTTTAAGGGAACCCATATATATATATATATATGTATATATATATATATGTATATATATATATATATCACATATATGTCTTTTTTCTTTAAGGGAACCCAAAACGACCACGCGCCTCCCCCGATCCCCCGCTGCCCCGATTTCCCGCTTGCGGCCTTTGGCTCCAAGAGGCCGCCTGCAGCTCCTCCAGCGCGCGGGTGGTCTCCGGCTGGCCGCTGCCTCTGCCCGCGATGTTCGGCGCTCCGAAGGTCACCTCGCGGCGCACGCGAAGGGGCTGGGGGCTTTGGGGGGGGGGGGGGGGGCGTTGGGGGGAAGGAAGGCACGGGGGACGGGGATCTGTAGTTGGAATGAATCTAGGGGACGTGCTTCCCCATTCTTGAAAGCCTGGGTTTTGAAAAGAAGGATGGTTGAAAAGCATGGAATTGGAATCAACCCCTAGAATGAAGGGGGTTTCCTTTTCGGGAAATGAGTCATAATAAAAACCCGGTATTAATTTTTGTCGACCCACGACTATGCTTCAAGAATTAGGAGCGGCCGCAGCTGTTTATGGTTGGGATTGTCCCTTACTAGCCTTGATATACCCGAGTTTTAACAACAGTGATCGTTGTCCCTCAACGGAAACCATAAGGGATGGTTTCTCTTGGACTCATTCCAATTCTGATTCCCTGCTGAGAACCAGCAAGCATTGAATGCGAAGAAAACAGCCTATAATGGAGTACTTGCGGACATTTAACTCCTCAAACTGTTGTAAAAACATACACGCAAATAATTGGTGTTGGTTTCCAACCTCCGACAATGCCGGCTTCCCTAAAAAGCCCCCAAGGTCGGCCAGTAAGCTATTGGCAACAACCCACTTTTTGAGTCCCAAGTGGCGTTAACCTTGGTAACTATTCGGGAATCATAGGGGATGATTTTTCTTGGGGTTATTCCAATTATCATTCTGCTGAGAAGTTTTGAGTGCGAAGAACAGAGCCACAATGGAATGAATAATCAATCCTCAGAATACTTGGTGGACATAACTCAGAAAATCAACATAACTCCTCATATGTGTAAATGAATTATATTTGTAAAGTTGGTGAACTTTGAAGTGGGAGTACAGATGTCGGCTATAAATCCCATGTCCCCTGGGCCGCCTGGGCTGGTTCTTCTTTGAACAAATCTAAATGAGTCTGAGGACGGGGGCAGCACCTCCTTGCAAAGGGCGACCGCCAAAATGGCCTCAGTTTCCTTTTGGTATCCCTTGAAAAACATCTCAAAACGGTTACCCTCCCATGTTAGGCTAAGAGGGAAGGCTCCCAGCCAGGGAGCTATCTGCAGCTGAAGCAAGTAGACCATAGATCCCAGCTTGCAAGAGGATGTCGGTCGTGCCGAAATGATCGCTTTATTGCTAGAGTCTATGTTTTTGACCAAATGCGGCCAACTGCGAGTAAATTGGCGCATGCTGAGTATGTCACCCAAACATCTTGACAAACGCGGGCAGCCACAACAAAAACAACTCAATAAATTCCGCTGTTGTGTAGCAGGCCATTTGCCTCCACTCTGTGTCCCAGAGGTGGGTACCCATCCATAGTCCATGAAATGTATATTGCCGGACGTGTCACCTTTGTGTGCTAGATTAGAAAAGTCCCTGTGGCTACTTGAAGAAATACGGGGATTCTCTTTGCAAGACACCAGTCCCTTGCCCAAACAAAAGATGGGTCACCGAGGCGCCACCACCAACTCGCGGCACGGCAAGTCATCGAGCCTCGGTTCCCGATAAATGGGTCTTGCTTTAGACCTCGGCGCTCCTCTTGGCTTCCCGTTAAAACCCACCCAAAAAGTGTGCCCTCAAAAATGACGACCCCCAAATGCCAGGCTTTCATTGGAACGCACTGCGCGATATCTAGCTCCTGGTCGGTGCTCCTCTTGGCTTCTCGTTAAAACCCAGCAAAAAGGGGTCAAGGAAAGAAAGAGCTGCGCGAGATCTACGCTCTCCGGCTGAGAGCTCTGGGCAAGGCGCCAGGCTCGGCCAGTGAGTGGCAGCGACCTGGGCTCAAGGATTGAGCTCCGCAGGTCTTGGCCCATCTTCCCTTTGCCTAGGTCATCCAGTAGAGAGGTTAGAATAAGGGTAACAACTTTGTGCTGTAGTCTACTTTAGTAGGGGAACCCTCCCCAAAAAAAGGGAGAGAAGGGCACTGCTGGGGGACCTAGTTGCGGTTTGCAGTCGGATTTTGAGCCATATCCCGGCCAAATGTCACAGCCCAGGTTCCACCTGTTTTTTGCCAGAATGAAGCGTGCCAAGCCACCATTGTATGGCTGCAGCCAGCGCATTTGCGCCTCCCTTGGAGCCGCCACACAAGATCAGCTCCTCCTGAGCTCGTCCAAAGGGGTGGGACTAAGGCACATCTGTTGACCTGTTGTCTACTCCAAATAGTGTTTGTACTAAAAGTCATGCCCGGATGAGATGACTCGTGTCCATCCAAAATGTCAGTTGGGAATGTTGAAAGGCAAGCCCGAACCGGCCACGAGGGTTGAACTAGTTTTGGGACATGACCAATTGATGAGCTTCACCCCTTCTCCTTGACATGGACGACCGAAGTACTTGCATGCCTAAAGTCATGCTTGGCGTTGGAGCAATTGAACTTCTAACGAACCAACTAATTAGGGACAAAACCATATGCTCACAGGTGTTCTCTTCAAGTCAGTTTGGTGGATATTAAATCGATGGCACCGATTTCAACTGGGTTCTCCTCCTCCACCCACGGCTGTCTCACAACTCAGCAGAAAAAGGCGTGTCTTTCAAAAATAACGTTTTGGAGGCTCACGCCTTCTTGAGCCTTTTACGGGGAATCAAGCGGATCTCCAAGTTCGTGCGTGGACTGGTTCCAAGGTGCAAAAGGCACGCCGGCGGCAGCTTCCACTATGGCTTGGCGCAGGCACTCGGACTCCGCCTTGCGTGGGTCGTCTTTGGAGATCCTTCTTGACTTTGACCAAAGGAAAACCGTAATCCCATGGTTGGGGCCCGCAGTCTTTAATTCAAGCAGGGGGATGGTGGCTTCAAGATGGGAAAAGCGGGAGGGCATCAAGAATTTGAAGCCTTACCATCATTCCTGGATTCCATCTATGGCTTTTGCGCTGGCATCATGTTCCACTTTCCATCCCACAGTAAATGCACGGGGAAACTGCTCCTGCCCTTGCATCTACGCGCCTCTGCTGTACTCCAGAAGCCGCTATGAAGCAGCAGCACTCCTCTTCTTTGCGTCTGAACGAACGGAGAACCAGAACCAAGCGCGTTACAGGTTGATGTCCCAATACTCAATCATTGTCTTGCTGGTGCTCTGCAAAGAATGTGGGAATGAACCCAGGGATTCCCTTAAAGGAAGCCATAAGGGACGGTTTGTAGAGGTCATTCCCTCATTCCCTACTGAGCACCAGCAAGTTGAATGTGTGCACAAACAGTTTGGTGTTGAAGTGTTATTTCAGAAAAGGCGATCTCTTTTGCGAGCCAACCATGGGCCCGCGGGTCATGACTTTTCCGCAAGCCCTCGCGCTCGCTTTCAGCCCTCCGACCTTTCTGCCCATCCAAGTAGCGTTCTCAGCCCGCTGTTTAAAAACAAAAACAGAACACACACACACACATGGTTAACATGTCCGACACGTCCGGCATGCGTTCGTCTCATGAGAGAGCGGACTGCTTTAGCTGTGGCCGGTTACAGGTGGATGCCTGGTATCTGCTAGGAATGTGGGCACTAGACAGGCGGTCCTTGCCAGCTCGGCACGTTCACCCGCCGCAACGACATGTAGCCTCAGCCGCAAAACAACAAACACATGTCAGGGTCATTAAAGAGATGCCTGAATTCTGACCTTTGTTATAATCAGTAGTTGGTTTCTGGCAATGCCCGGTGAAAGCTTGCCATTGTCAACAGATTTGGCATGGCAAAATGGCCGAAACGGCAAATGAGTGACTCTCCCGATGTCATCCTCAATCCATTGCCCATAGGATCCCATGGGACATATAGGAGATACTTATTGACCGTGGGCAACAGAAGGCTGACATTTGGCACTTGCCTGATTGATCATGTCTCACTTCGTCTGACGTGGAACGGCTTCACGTAGCGCTCAACTCTCCCACAAGGCGTCCCAAGTCCCCTCTGAAACATCCTGAGGGTGATGTTCACTAAGGGCATGACTTTGATGAGGTGAATCTGCTCCTCTCGTCTTGCTATCCTCATAATGCATCCAGCGAGGGTCTCTACGGAGATACTTGAACAACCACACTCCCTTTTTCTCTGGACTTCTTGAATTCTAATCACGAAGCTCATCAGATCCTACATCAACGGCTTGCCGCGGCTTCCGCCGAAAAATCGGCGGCGCCGGGCGGCTGTTCTCCGTCCAATCCAGCACCGTCTCGGAGCCCCGGAAGACCAGGAAGCAGCTGCCCCACTGGTCCCGCAGAAGCGCCCACCTGAGTCTGGGAGAATCTCGCCGGGTTCATGGCGACATCAGAGGGGTATGTATGGGTATGTGTCTTGAAATAAAAAAGGGACCCTACCGGATAAACATCATGCAGGTGGGGACATTCATGTCTAATGACTTGTTCAACTTCATGGCCAAATGTCACTGAAATGGCGGTTTACGTGGAAATCACGCGCGGAAGTAGTATTGAGAACCCGTGTTCAATTCTAGGTGCCCAGTTTTGGTTTTCTGACCTGTGTGCTGTGCTGATCCTACCTTCCAAGTGCTCGCAATCTGAAGGGCATTCAGCGTTTCGAAAGCAGGTGTGCCCAGGCAAGCAACAATCCATGCTGAGGGGAAGACTCAAAGTGATCCAGACATGGCTAAATGTTCACCGCCAAGCCCTGAACGACTGAATGTTCAAGCTTCAACCAAAAGCCGTTAAGCACTTCAATGTTGGACTACTGAACGTGATGAGGCCTAGGGTAGATGTGGGCTGAGCACAACAGGAATGTCTGGACACATAGTGTGGTGAGGCCAAGGTGGTATAACATGACATCGGTTGCCCAGCGTAACACCAGGTGCTCAATTGCTGAGATTGCTCAGCTTGACCATGCTCAAGACTACATTGCAAAAGGTCGACAAAAGCCGCCGACCAAAACACTGGTGTTCTTCCCCCCCCCCCAAAAAAAAAGGGGGGGAGGGCATCCCTCACGTTTGCTTTGACTTTAGTTTTCAAACAACAAAAAGGCTCCCCAACTTGTTCAACCCAAAAACAGCGCCCCCCACTTCTTCGGGCATTCCCTGCTTCCCCCCCAGCCCCCGTCGCTTGTGTCGCTGAGCTGCTGGAGGTTGATGCCGTGGTGCTCCTCGGGCCGCTGCAGCTTCACCAGCTCCAGGCCTGCGCCGAAACGACGAAGGGATGCGTCGGAATCGATCGGAACTCCGAATCCGCATCGTGCTTGGGGCATTGTACTTAAGTGGGCAATAACCATAAGTCTCCTAAGTGGGTTATAACCGTGGTTATTACTCACTTAAGTGCCCTGCCCCTTTAAGTGGGACACCAAGAGCAGGGTCGTGGGATCACTCGGGGTGTGTGCAACGACTTCTGTGATACAAGGGAATCCCCTCTTTGAATGGGTGGTAGTCTTTGGGAGACCCTTTTTGTGTCAGAGAAGTGGGTGCGGCTCAAAGTTACACAGGAGGCGTTCGCAGATTTTGAAGTCCATGTTTCCACTTCCCAGGGTTCCATTTTGGGTACCGGTTTTTTGAGCCACAGCCGCATGTGCAGAGGGCTACCCCATCTACCCTCCCCTTTTCACATGGAAGGACCGATTTCCCGAAGGCCGAACGGTTCCATGTGAATGGGTGGGAGGCTAAGGATAGGATTCACTTTGAATAACCCGCTTGTGCAACAGCTTTCGGAGATGCGGTTTGCCCTCGGAGACATCTCTTTCGTCCAAAAGCTTTGTTTAATGGCAACCGAGCTGGGCAAGGCGCAGCAAAATCGCGCTTGTGAAAGAAAAATGCGGATGCCTCTTGCCTCTCAAACACTGGTATCCCCCACCACAGGAATGGACGTCCTGCCCGAAGGAAGTACCAGAATATCTGGTGGATCAATGCGGCCTTCATCCACAATGTTGTTGATGGTGCTCACGCTTGTTTACCATCTTCATATTGATCAAGCTCAAAACATGATGGCATTGGTTATCATCCATTGATGACTTTGGCCATCAGGAGTCATCATGATCTGTGTTGGATACCAACAACCAGCCTTGACTAGCCCATCTGGGCGTTTGAATGGCCCAGCAACGTAGCCTAGCGCACACCCGGCACCGCACCTGGAACCGGAAGGGTCTCCACAGACGGCTCGTAGATCCATTCTGAGAGCGCCTTGCGTTTTGTTTCACGAGGAATCTCACTCTCAGCACTGGCAAAATGGTACAAAGAAAGTCGGCCGGTATGCAACCACAGCCGGCCTCCCGGCAACAACTCAAGGATCCTCGGCAAATACAGAGATGTCCTCCCTAGAATTCCATCCTTGTCACAAGTCAAAATCTCTTGATGCGGGTGGATGCATCCGGATGCTCATATCCGAAAGCCCACAACCAGGTTGTGGAACCTGCTGAGGTGGCCTGTTTTGAGTTGGGGTGTCGGCAGAAACTGTGCCCTTGCCAAGGCGCAGCACATGCCAGGTCTGGTAGCTGGGCTTTGTCCAGGGGCCGGGTGAAGCAGGAGATGAGCCCTGCACGTGGTCCAAAGTGACATTTTGCATATGGTGGACTCACAAAGTCCGCTTTGCAACGTGGTGCTGTTGAGGGGGGGGGGTCTCAGTATGCATTCATCCCACCTGGTGCCGAATTTTGTGCATCAGCGTGTGTTCAACAGGTGACATTGCCTGCCGTCGCGTTCGAACCCTTCCATTCCAGCAAAGTCATTGTGTTCATTGACTATGCGCCTTCCTGGTTGTTGCCCCTTCAGCAGCTACCGTGGATAGTTTGGTAGCCTGCCGCCTGCCTTTACACTACATAAACAAACATAATTTTGTGTATCTGGTGACCAGCAGCTCAGGCAGGAATCGGCAAGAGATGTGAGGGCAGTCGAGTGCACGTCTTTAATTGGCCCATGGTACATGTCCCTTGCAGGGAAAACCCGTTGTATTGCATGTGAACATCGAACCCTGGCAAATGGAAAAGCAGTTTCGAACCTGCGGTTTTTTGGTGCCTCTTAAATTTTCAGACGCACCCATGATGGCTGAACGACGCTCGCTTCTGCCAGCACGCCTCGGATGGTTGCCATGCGAGGGGCGAAGTCCACTGCTTTGGCTTTGATGACCTGCGCTTCTGCGGCTTGCTTTTGGTGGATGTTTGAGGGTTTGGGGCCTTTTCAAGAGGCTGGTCTTCCAAAACCCTGTCACTTCCATGTTTTATTTTGAAATATAATTTTCTCTGTCAAATAGTAGCTTCGACTGCTGCTGTCAGGGGCGGCAACAAGGCACCGTTGCTGGTGTACCTCAACAGGTCGCAATGCGGCATATTTGCTCATTTCCAAAACCTTGTTGATCAAGGTCGCCAATTCGAAGTTCTGGGGACACCGATCCAAAGCAATCCACTACTACCGAAAACATGGAGCTCGACTGGGTCCTTGCATGCCGTGCTAGGGAGACCCTTTCCCGCAGGTCTTAAGCAGCCGTCCTGCTTTCCCAGATATGCACAAAACCCGCCTCGCTGGCCAAGCAAATGCCGGCAGCTGGGCCCAGCAGGGTGAGATAGCGCTCGGCCGACACACTCGCCTGCGAGCGATTGACACTGACATCCGGCAATCCGGCACCTGTATTCGCTGACAGGACTCCCTTCCAAACGACGTTCCCCCCCCCCCCTCACTCCTCAAACTAAACACGCAAAATTAGGTTGGTGGTCTACTACGGCTTTTGAAGGGCGGATGATTTGATGACACGGTCAAGTACCTGAAGCCTGGTCTTCTCAGCAATTCGCACATTGGGTTGAGGTCTTGCACTTGAGATTTGAATAGAACCAACCAAAAGGGGGTCCACCAGAAAAGGGACCATGTTCACAGACTTTTAAATTGCTCATTTAAGAATCATAATCAACACCTGGCATGAACATGGTGTAGCCAGAATGTGAAGAATTGAAAAGGCGGATCTCCGCCCCCATTTACGCCAGGGGACTGTCCCTGAACCTCCAATTCTCCGGGGTTGCTTCACTCTCATGTTGATTTGGGTCAACCGAAAAGGGGTCAACCAACAAGGGTCCTTTTCCAGAGATACTCTGCCAATTAACTTCCGACTCAAACTTGCTTCCGACTTCCTCGGTGCTCCGATCCGATCCCCCTGTGATCGAGCCGTTCGACCCGACTGTCCTGGGGGCTTTTGAGGTCCGCCGCCAAACGCCAGACCTTCTGGGCGATGGCGGCCGCCCACTCAGAGATCTCATGAAGCTCCCGCACCGCCTGAAAGGCGCCACGGGGGGGGAGGGGGGGGCTGGGGAGGGGGGCTGGGTTGGGGAGGGGGGCTGGGGGCTGGGGGCTGGGCGTGTGATTCAATGGTCTGGTGGAGCTAAAAAGGAGATTTTGAAGTCTTTGGTATTTTGGGCGATTGAACAAATAACATGCTTCAGGATATTTGAAGTGTTTGTTTTTCGGGTGATTGAAAAGAGGGTAAACGACTTTTGGGTAGAAGTCGAGGAAACCAACAATTCCCCTTGCGGAAGGAGATGGGGGAAACTGGAAGGGCCTGAAGGAAACCAGGAATGGACACCAAACGAGCCCTTCGCAGCATTCTAATGAGGACCCATGATGCGGGGCTCCAAAAGCCTCTCTTCAATCTATGAATTGAAACTGAAAGGATCCCCCTATTTTTTGCGGTTGAACCCCTATCCGTAAATCCCAGCAACTGATGTCCAGGCGCCCATTTGAGTGTGGGTCAAAAATAGGTGCCCAAAACCGAACCCTAGAAAAGGACACCAGCACTAAAACCTGCGGTCCCCTGTGGTAGAACTTTGACCCATACCTATTTTGTTCGAAATTCGTAGCCATCTCAAGCTGACTTCTCCCGCGTCGAAAGGCCTCCTGAGCCGGCCCAAAGGCAGCAGCGACCAGGGCAGTGGCGGCACCGCTGGTGGCGTCTTGGAAGAAGCGGCCCACGGCCCCGCTGATGTCCTCGGACGTCTTATGTTCCATTAGAACCATTCAGCTTCCTTGGTTGTTTGTTGGTTGGCCGAAAGGGTGGTTTGGTGGTGAAATGGAGTGGTGACCCCCAACTACCCCCTACAAGAAGCAGCGATGGCCTTCCATGATGGTTCAGGTTGACCTTCATTGGTGGTTTGGGTTGGTGGTTTTTGCGGGACACGCCAAAAGGCATTGACAACCACCCAAAAAAGGCACCTGAGTCTACAGACTGCAACATCCACAGGGCTTAAGCTTCAAGCCGCCGATTGACTCATGCTGACTGGCTGCATCGTCTCCGGTCAGAAGCTGCTCCACCAAGTCCCCAGCGTGCTCTCGCCTCAGGCGAGAGCAAAGGCTCCCTCTCACGTTCCTATGAAAGCGATGCATCCCAGAATGGGTGTATTTTTTTTCAGGGACCTACAGGGTCACAAGGTTTGACATTAAACAAGGCCAACCATCAAGGGCGGGCCAGATCCCTTTTTTTTGCCGCGCGCATCCCAGATTCATCTGGCAGAACGTATTTCCATGACGTGCCTTGCTTGCACTGATTTAAACGAATTTGCTCTCACCTGCGTCTTCAAACAAGTCAGTAACTCCACCCGCTCAGCGTCAATCAGTTGCAGGAAGGGCCAGCATTAATTGCTGCTTGTGCGACGAGGCAGTCCCGGAATGCCGAGAGGCAAAGACATTGAGTTGTTTGTGTCGCTCTGGAGTTTGTCACCAGGACGAAGTCAGGAGGCGGCGGGAGTTGAGGCTTGTTCTGGCTGACAGCGCAAAGCTGTGTCTTGGCTTCCACGTAGATGCAGAACTACGCTTGGAGACACCCGAGAATCTCCCAAAAGCGGGGGGTCGTGCCTGCATTTGCACTCACGTGGACCTTTGCCTGGCGCCCCAAACACAAGCGTGGGTTTGAAAGCCATTTGAACAGAGCAGAAATCTTTTGAGTTCTGCCGGCTCTGGGGCGCCGGGCGCCATGGGCGGGGGGCGCCCCGGGGCGGCGGGCGCCTGGGGCGCCGGGTGCCCGGGGCGCCGGGTGCCCGGGGCGCCGGGCGCCTGGGGCGCCGGGCGCCTGCCTCCACCTTAGCATCCAACAAGCTGAAAGAAGCCTTGCCAAACGAAATGTCACTTCGCAACAAGTGTTTCCCGTGAAGTGATGTCAAGCAGGACCTGGCAGAATAGGGGGACCGTAGGTGTCCCGTGGCAATTGCGACGCAGCTCGCTTTGCTTTCAGGGAAGTTGTGGTTTGGACGCTGTTTTCCTGTGGTTCTCCTTCGTTGTTTTCGGAAACGGCGCAGGCCATTTCTCAAGTGTCAGTGCTTTAGAGCTTCCGGCTCATTCTGCAGACATGTCCCTCTGCTTGCTTTAACGTCGTACAAGCGCAGCGAGTGTGGTTTGTTTGCTTGTAGGATTTTGTGTCACAAGTGAGGCAAAGGGCAGCGCAGCTGGAGATACATTCAGTTGCAGACCAGCTTGGGCGTGAACCCCAGTCAATTCAAACTGTGTTGCACGATTACGAAAAGTTTTGCCTGGTCCGCCGGTGTGCGGCCACATCGGAGGCGTGTAGCGCCTTCGCTCCCCGTGGCTTGAGTCGCGGAGTTGCAGCAGAAAATGCGAGACGCTCGCGCCACACTCCGTTTTGTTGCGATTGGCAACGCACCTCTGGTTCTCAGAAACAACCGGCGCAAAGAGAAACAGCCACAGCGCAGGCGCGGCCACCTGGCGGCTCCTTTGATTTTTTTCGGACAATCGAGGGTCTCTTGCAAGGGACCCCCAAAAAACCAGTGTAGGGCCTACACTGGTTTTTTGGGGGTCCCCTGCCAAGGGACCTACAGCTGATCTGCACGTCTTTTGCAACCTGAAATCATGTGGGGGTCCCTTTCAGGGGACCCCCAAAAAACCAGTGTAGGCCCTACACTGGTTTTTTGGGGGTCCCCCAGAAGGGACCCCCGTTTGACCAAAAAAATCGCAGGTTGCTGTGATAACCTCCCCCCCCCACACGTGGTTAACCCAGGCTTTCCGTCTGCCTGTCAGAGATCTGCGCACTACGGCACCACCAACTTGACCGGACCCTCCCTTGTGAGCAGCCTCAAGCTGGACACAAGTGGCAGGCCACTGCTTGCAAACGGAAAGTCCACGACTTTGGCTGCGCAAGCTTGGCCAGCGAAGTCGAAGACAAGACAGCGGTCACTGCTGAGTTACGGGTTCACTTGCACAAGGGCATTCCTCTACTTGTGATGGGTATGGGAGCACAGGCAGGTTAGTGATTCAAGTCAAACTTGGTGCAGAAGATCCAGTTTCTCGTGCGGCTGAGCGCCCGCGCAAGTATAGGTGGCTTTGCTCTCGCCCGCCCCCTCTCGCTCAACCCCCACTTCTGACACACGTTTACACACGCGCCCGCCTGTTGTGTTCAATGCGCGGTCTTCCTCCAGATCCATACGCCTTATCCCACCCCACAGACAGCAGTTTGCATGTGTATCTAGGCGACACAGTGCGGTGGCTTTTTGCCTTGTTTCTTCCTTGCCAGGCGAGACCGATCCGCGCCTATGGTGAGGCCCTTCGCGCAGCCAACGCGGGCACTGCTGCCGGCCTACCACCGCCGCTTGCCCAAACCTGGCCATTGCGGCGACAGCCTGCAATACGCCGATCATTTTGCAAAGCCATGCTCAAAGTGCGAGAATGACAAATGGCGCGGAGCTAACTTGACAACCCGCCATCTTGCCAGCTGCGCCGGGGAAGGGGCCAAGTCTTCGAACCTCTTTTTGGCGCCTCGTGTGCCTGGAGGGCAAACAAAAAAACCAATGCTACGGCTGCTTTCGTCACAAGCAAACAGATGTTGCTTGGCTGTGACTATGTCTCGCCGTGTGGTTTAGCATGCCTTCCATGATCAACGTGCGCACCCTCGGTGGTTGGATCCTGCAGCGCTTTGCTCAGCCGCTATTGTTCGGATGCGGCCACGCAGTCTCCAGGTTGGAGGCATGCTTGGCGCGCGTGTCGAGACAGAGCTACCCATGTCTACATTCCAGGAGATGCGCTGCATTTTCGGGGGCATTGCGGGACTTGCCAGTAAGAAGGTCATTGCGAGAGTGAGCCATAGTGCTTGGCCACGAATACGCGGGTTGCAATCCTGAAGCCCTCCAACTAGGCAACGTAGTGCTGGAAAGTATGCCAACGCGGCCTCGTGGCAAGAGACTGGATGTCTATGTTGTTGAGACGGAATAAGGTCTAAACAAGTGCGAGAAAGACATAATCCGGGCACTGATTCTTTGGCCTTGATTCCTTTATGTAAAATGTCAAATCTTGTGACCCTGACCTCTCCCCCCCCCTCAAAAACAGAAGCATAAATGCGTTTTTAGCATATGGTTTCCCTTTAAAATCACCAAACAAGGGCTACCCGCCAAAAAAAAACACACCCTCAAATGTTTTACTGAAGAAGCTGCAATGGCAACAGCGCCGAACTGCAGCAGTTCCCATGTGCAGTGCTGTGCATTGGGGTGCAGTATACTAGTCCGGCACGTAGGCAAGCAGGTAACTTTGGTGGATGTAGAACACGGTGGACCAATGCACATGCACGGTACATCACATGTAGAACACGGTACATGTGTAACTTTAGTGCATGTGTGTGTGTGAATTCGATTCCACATGTACCAACGCACACAATTGGCATTCTCATACCAAAAAACATAATAAACTTAGAGCCTTGGGGCCTTGATTGAATCAGCTTGTGAGTCGTGGTGAAGCAGGGCATGATTCCATCAGATTGAACATGAAGAGCTCACACCCCATCGCAGGGTTCGTTTTTTTGACAACCCCAAAGCGGACTTAAACCCAGTGTTGATTTCCCCAAAAGGGGAAACCGGAAACCCCTGGGTTTAAGTCTATCTTGGGGTTGCCTCCCCCCAAACACAACTTGCTGGTGCTCAGTAGGGAATGTGGGAATGATTCCAGGGATTCCAGCTGGAAGGAATCTTCCAGTTGGACGGTTTAGTTCGGAATCATTCCTTCTCTGAGCAGCAAGAAAAAAGAAGAGTCACTCACCGGGGAAGTGTCAAACCTCGCTTGCTTTCCCCTGCTAAAAGTTTGACTCACTTTTAGTGGTTTGGTACGGAAAACCCAAAAATTCGTTGGCCAAAAAGTGGTTCGGTCCCCAACAGCCAGTCGTTCAGTCCTAACAGCCCTTGGCAAAATGCGCCGAAGAAACGAGAACCGCCCGGTCGTCGCTTTGGGCACCCCGCGCCGAGGCCTGAGATCCCAAGCCCGCGATGGCCGCGGCGCGGACCTTCGCATCTGCGTCCTTCGATCCGGTCGCGCCAAGTGGCCGGGCACGGTTCAGCTGAAAAGGGTCTGACTTCGGTCGTGAAGGAAAAAAAAACGATAAAAAAGGCACCTGGGAAGGATTGCAGAGGAAACGCCTCTTTGAGGAACTGGAAATTTGGGGCTCTGGTTGGAAGTGGTTTCCGAAGTCAATGCTTCTTCCTACAGCGGTCGTTTGGGTTTAGAACCTCTGGAATGTGTCGAATAGTTTTCAGGCGGCAGACGAATTGCGGAGCTAAACACAGGGAACTCCTTTTTTGGATGCTTAAGATGAGGTTCAACGCGCGTGGGCCTTCAAGGCGGCTGCCAGGGCATAGGCGCAGCTTTCAGCTCCCTCCGACCTCAGCCGAGAAAGCCGACTTTTTGGGTGGGCCATGGACCGAAAAAGCATGGGTTTCCCTCAAACGCACTTGAGATCAAATTCAGCAGTCGGCGTTGTCAGCAGAAAACACGATGAGTTGATCGCCGCGCGCGAAAGTGAGCGGTTCATCTTGATCGCTCGTACATGATTAGTTTAAAGAACTTGGAAATCGATAGTGTCTACGCTTCTGCGGATGCAAGTTCAACATGCTGTCTTTGCATTCATTACGAGATGATGAGAAGAACAACCACGAAGAAACTAAGTGCCATTCAAACTGGATGTCCAGGTGTTCAAAAAAAGCAATGTCGGCAATGTCTTGCTGCCAAAACGGGGCCACGAGGCAATCACCTGAGCAAGCAGTTGCACAGCATGAGCCACCAACAGAGACAGGGAAACATAGCTATGGCTGTGGCTCAAATAAATGTACCAAAATGACACCAAAAGGTAAATGGAACCAAAGACCAAAACCTGCGGTTTGCCCCAGCTCCTTAATTTTGAGCCACGCCCAAACAGCCGCTGCCAGGGTCGCGGCTGACCAAGTCTCGCCAAGCTCCGCGCTGACTCCTCGCGGACCCTCGGGTCGGGATCCGACCTGGCGACATGGTACCGCCAGCATCCCGCATCCCGTGACTTGTGGGGCCCGTGTTTGCAGAATCCTCAGGGCTGTCCTGGCACGGGCGTTGAGTCAAAGATGTTTTACCAACCAGAACAGCTCACAGATTGAGCCAGAGTTGGATCCTCACTCGGCACTTTGGGGACCTTGAAGCCAAAACCAACTCAGCCTGGCAGTTACCAAAAAGGCCACTTCCTAGCACGGGACAGCACCAGATTGGACAACATTCGCCAAAAACATGCCTTTGGGCGTGCCCGACATGTCAACGTAACAAAGCCATGGGACCTGGACCGCTGTCTTGGCTTGAAGGGGAAAAGACAACATCTCCAGGGTGACGTGACGTGGTCTATTCTGATGAAGCAGATTTGGGTCCCCCCATGTGTCCTCCCCATATCAGCAAACTACCACTTATTCAGGCACTTGCTCATGTTGGTTTGTCTCAGAATAATTATGTAAGGAACCCCCTTGTATGAATTTTCCTGTTTGTTCTCTTTAAAACCGCCCAAAAATAGCTACCAAAAAAAGGCACCCACATACTGTCAAATTACCTGTTCCCCCCAAGAAGGGATGGGAAGCTCGGTGAATGCGGATTTTGCACAACAAAAATCGAGTGAGTCCCCCCCCTCCCCCCATCTTTGCATTCGCCTCAGGGCTTCCTCTAGAGCTGCTCTGCCGCCCAAGCGACCCAGCGCAGCCTCGGCCCGGGTCAGTTGTTGTCGAGTCCCAAATACACGCATGAATGTCAACCTGGGCCCCTTTTCTTGGGCCGCAAGGCTTGTGAGTTGTTTAACCGTAACACGCGACACTCACTTTGCACCAGCTCCAAAAATCGAAGTGTAGTTCTCGAGGCGCACCATTTAAGCTGCAGGCTGCAACGGGAAGCTCAACACGAGCGCCCGGAAAGAGACAATGACACGAAATGGGCCTCGAGCCCGGGTGCTTACGCGGAGCCTACGCAGAGCCTATGCGAATGGAGGCGTTCTGTTTTGAAAAGCCCAGGCCTGACCTTCTGAGCGATAGGAGCTTGCGCGACCATGTAGCCACTCTCCCAACCATTGTGAAACCTTGAAAACCCATGCACAGCTCCATGATGTATCATCCCAGGCTTGCCTACGCGGGCGCTTACGCAAGGGAAAAAAAACAATGATGCACACGAAATGCGTACGCAAGCCTGCGCCCCCCACCTAAATTGCCTACGCGAACATGATGCAGTTCCCTTTTTGTATAAACCCTTGATTCCGGAAAGAACAAGAAAGCTGCCCAATTACTTTGGGGAGTACTTGTGGGAAGCAGCTGGCGATCGTGGGCTTGGGTTCTGCCATCTGACTTCGAAGAACCGAAAGAAGAACTCATGACATGAGACATGCTGCTGGGGGGGAAACAAATGGGAGGGCGTCCAAATGTCACTGCCGCGCATCCACGGTGCTACCAATACTTGGGCGGGCGAAACGGGGCAAGCGTTCGGAGAAAGACACATCTACGCTTGCAGACGCAGATGGCATCTATGCTCAACACAAACATGCTTCAAAGCTAGGTCCCCTCGCAAGTGCATGCTTGATGCTTTGTTCAGTCATTCCGAAACGGTACCTACTTTGACACATATCCACTTGGCAGTTGCTACCAAAACACACTCTTCTCCTGTTTATGTGCTTGGCTATCTTAACTCGAGCCGGGCGAGCTTGGACCTTCACTACGGGAGGACCAACATGGGGAACCTTTTTTTTCAACCCTCCGAACCTTTTTTTTCAACCCTTCCCTTTTTTGCTAACCCTCAAACCTTTTTATTTAACCCTCCCCCCTTTCTTTTCAACCCTCGCACCCCTCTTTTCTAACCCTCCCCCCTTTCTTTCCAACCCTCTACCCTTTCCTTTTAACCCCTCTGCCTTTTAACCCCTCTGCCTTTTGCCCTGATGGGCCTGTAACCGAAGCGTTCGGCAACTGCGCTAAGCTGCGATAAGGAACACAGCTGCACGCGCGCACACTGCTGCCTCGCCGAGGCCTGCGACCGAAGCCTTCCACAACTGCACTGAGCTATAGGAAGACAGCCACAGCGCACACACACACACACACACGCACTGCTGCCTCACCAAGACCTGCGACAAAAGGCTTTCGCAGCTCAAGGCTCCAACCGAAGTCTTCCACAGCTGCACCGAAGTCTTCCACAGCTGCACCGAAGCCTTCCACAGCTGCACTGAGCTAAAGGAAGACAGCTGCAGGGCACACACACACAGGCACACTCTGCTGCCTTGACCGAAGCCTACACCAACTGCTTCCCTCGGAGAAACGTTCTTTGGCCGGCAGCCGCTCCCCTTGTTGCTTCACAGTGTTGCCCCATCCACCCCGACCGCCCTGACCGGGCCTGGTGCACCTTGGCGCAACCGGGCTCTCGACGTGATGCCGCACCCACCGCCTAGCCGCAAAGGGGAAGACATGCGTATTTGCAAAGCTTGGAAAGGCAGGTGTAGCACACTTGCTTCAATGAAACTACGCTGCCTTTTTCTCACGGGGCATGTGGCCAAATGGCTTCGCAGGCGTGTGGCAAAGTGGCTTCTTCACCAGGTCTTGCGTTTGCGTCCCCGGCGTCGTTGGGTTGGAATGTTCCGCATGTCAGCAGTGGGGTCATCTTGCAGCGCCTTGACATAAAGCACATGTTCGCAATCTCCATGTAGCAAGAACTCACGGCATGTACACAGCTTGCCTGGAACTGGTTTCTTCAGCTTGCGGCGCACGCGGGGCCAGGAAGCTTGTGCAAGATGCCCCTCCAACACTGCGCAGTACTGCTGCATGTACTTCTGCAACGCTTTCAATTCCAACTCCCCATCCTTGGCAATGCCAGCCTTGCACAACCATTTTTCGAGCTGCGGGCCTTCGGAAGCTATGAGGTTTGCGACCATCTTGGCCACTTGCGGCGTCACGACCGCCTCTGCAGGCATCACGCCTCCCTGCAGTCTGCTTTGCAGAACCCAGAAAGTTGTCACACCGTCCACATCGGTTCCGCCTGCTTCCCCAGTGCGGATGTAGACCTGGCGGTAGTTGCGATTGCCACACAGCCGCGGCTCCCGATGCTCCCAAAAATCCCTCGCAGGGGATCTGCCCGCGGACCGCAGGCTTTTGCTGTTGAACAATGCATCTGCGGAGCGGGCGGGCCATGTCACGAAAGTCTTCTCCTCCTCCCATGCAAACCTGGATGCCCAATCTTTTTCAAACAGCTGTTGCATAGAGGCAAAGATTTCTGTCGGTGATAGCCTTGCTTTGGCCTTGATGCTGCTTTGCCAGTATGCATGAAAGGACTCCAGTGTTTGCGTTCCTGAGCTACTGCCTGGGTAGTTCCCAAGATCCCTCCCCAGAAGCCACTGAACCAAAGTCCTTCTGCCCCCCAAATTGTAGAAGTGCAGCTGAAGCCTTTCTGCAGACTGCCAACTGGCACTTTCTGACAGTACGTGTGCTGAAAGTACTCTGCAGCTTGCGCACTTTTCTTCCGTAGCCACGGGAAGGCCAATTGCCAGACCGCATCGAACAATTGCACAGTCGGCACCTCGCGGCTAATCTGGACAATTTTCTCCCAGTAGCCAAAGGTGCTCCCGTCCGGCGTGCTTGTCAAATCTGCAGCCGGCGTGGCAGGTCTCTCCGGGCTTGACGAGGCGCCCCGCTTCTTGCCCTTGTTCTTGGGTGTCCTGCGTTGACGGCGCTTGCTCTCGGTACACATCTGCACAATTCTACAACTGCAACAACACGAGCCTGTTTGTCTTGCTTGCTCTTGCTTGTGTGACAAACTGAGGTTCCGGCGCTTTCACCTTTGGGGTCTTCTTGGCCGGCAAGTACTTCTGCATGCCCTTGTAGGTTGCTCGCCGCATGTGAGCATAGTCATCACATGGGCGTGCGTAAGGAAACACTTTGCGGCGCGAGGCCTCGATGCCTTTCGCGTAGTCCTTATGAACTTGCCAAACCTGCGCGCGGAGGTCCAGGCCGCAGTGCCTCTCAGCCAGCTCGCACGCCTCCGTGAAAATTTGGGTCATGCTGGCCTCTGACTCAGTGTCCACCAACGCTTGCAGGAATGGCTCTTGTGTTGCTGTGTGCGCCGAAGTGGACTTGGTGTGCGTGGCCCCGGCCCACGTCTTGCTTGGCACCGCACTGCTTACCAAGAAGGACAAAGTTACAATGCCGTACTCGTTGGCAACAACTTTTTGCTTTGCGTCCACTGCAAGCTTCACAACCTTCTCTTGCAGAGCTTGAGCGTGTCTCAGCATGCCCGGACAGGTCCACATCACACAGATCCTGTCCGCCTCAAAGGTTGAAGACGGCAAGACAAGGAGCTGCGACACCTTCCAAGTCTGCCAGGCCTCCATGTTGGGGCACGTGTGCTGTAGCGCTGCGTTTTGCAGCTCGCTCAACGTCACCTTGCTCTTGGCAGAGCGTGGTGGGCCTGCGTTGTTGAATCGCACTACAAAGTTGTGCAGTTGAGTATTGCTGCATCGTAGGCTCAAGTTCTGGGCCTTCAAGGCTTCTCGCACATCCTTTGACGTGACCTTTGGCCGCTTCTCCTCCAGCCCTTCCAAAGCGCACGCCTCCGCGCATGTCCACAAGCAGCCGCCGCGCGGGGGCTGCAGTTTCCCATGGCACCCTTTTTGCTCCACGCAAAGCAGCGGCCCTTTCTCTTCGAAGGTTAGGGTTGCCTTCACCTGTCGTGTGCAGCCGGCGCACACACTTTGCTGGCAGATCCCCAGCAACGTTTTGCCGTCCCTCTTCAACTGCTTCTCATGGAAGGTGTAAATGCCTTGGTCTTTCCGCCGTCCAAGAAGACGCTCCACTGCCTTCCGCAAGCCTGTGTAGGTTGCCACATCTGCGCCATCGCACGGCTTCCCGTGAAAGATTATCGCCCAACTCTCCGCTGGTGTGCTTGAGCCCTCCTCTGGCGCGCAAGGCGGCTCTCCTTCTTTTACAGTCGGCGTCGTCGCTGACCTTCCAAGCTGGGTGATGCTGGGTGCACCCACAAAATAGTCATTCAATCGCACGAAATCATATTAGTGTTCAAAGCTCTCTCCCATCATGGTTGCAGCCGCAATTGACCATTGTCTGAAAGATGAGTGGTGGAGCGAACTAACTTGCAATGAAGGTACACTTGCCTGTGAACAGCGGTTCAGCAAACCCTGTCACTTTCAATGCAGAGAAGAACAATTCCAGCCTGCCCCTCCTATCTCTAACTCGCCTTTTGGAGCATGCGCTCTCCCAGCCTCTTTGGAGCAATAGCCGGCTTCGGCTGCGCCTTCTTCTCGCTGCAAAGCTGCCTGAGGCTGGTAAGCAAAGTTTCGCCTCGAAGCGAGACACTGCCCGAGACAAGAACACAACTCCGTGCCTTGGTTGCAGACAATAACGCGCTTCCGCTTTGGGTGGCCCAAATGACCAGCTAGGCACGCCCATTTCCTTCAGCGAATCCTTGGCTTCCTTGGGCAACACTGAATAGGCGAACTTGACAAAGACTAGCTCCTGCCCATTGTCGAAGCATTGCCCACGCACTTGTCCAAGCCCACACTCCGCTAACAGCGCCATGACCTCCTCATACGGGCCTTCTTTCCATAGCGGGGCCGGCAAGTTGCGAAAGGGCGGGCCGCACCGCCGCGTCCACTCTGCGCGCCACCCTGAGCCCACCAAGGTGCGAAGGAGCTCCCCCATCGCTTCCACGCCCTGCCGTGCGCCC